AAACAAAACCCACATGTAATTGACTAGGGTGGAGCCAGGTTAACTTTAAAAAAATTTTCTTCTTGAACTTATATTAATAATCATATTTTGAAATTTTAATATCTTAAAAATATGATAGATTAATTATTTTAAATAAATTTATAATATATTTGAATGGAAAAAAATTGATGGAGGGAGAACAAAAAGTTTTTTTAATTAATTAAATTATTTAAATGATAAAAAATCTTCTATTTCTCTTCTCTCGGCTTAAACATGCTATCAATGTTTTTTAACCCAAAGAAAAAAAAAAACCTAAATTGACTACTCAATTAACAGTTCTATCTAGTAAGGGCTAAAGTTCAATAGTAATTGGGTTCTTCAAACAAAGCTCAGTTCCCTCATAAGTTGATGAATTGTTGTCTCTTAATTAGCATAACCTAAAGTGAAAAATAATCATTTAAATTTATATCATTTGGAGAATAAAAATTGACTACATTTCTTATAATCATTGAAGAGAGAGTGGGTTTTTATGATATTAGGTAGGCCTCATCCATTAATAGTTGAAAGTAAATTTTTTTGGTTATGAAAAAATTAGAACATTTTTAATAAATTTTATTTAAAATATTTAAGTACTTTCACAACTCAAACTTACACAATTCAAATTAGAAGGAAAAACGTTTCTATTAAAAATAACATATGTTTAATAATAATATTGAATTAAAACTTAATTATATTATTTTATTGAGTTTCAACTTTCAAGCCAAACTTAAAAATTGGGAGGTTTTTAAGTTTTATTGACTAAAAATAAAACTAGCACCACTTATAAAGAAGATAGAGCTTTATTTAATACCAACGAACCGAACGATCTTGCTACTTGCTAGAACTAAACTAGTTTATAAAACCATTAACTTCTTGTTACTTTATTTTATCTTTAAAAATCATAGTAGTTGGCAAATGTCTTCAATATTTATGGGGAAAGTAAATAGAACTGCAGTTTCGAGGGCTCAAGCAATGGCAGACTAAAAAGTAGCAGTACTATTAATATACTCCATGTTAGCAGATGTGCTATGAAGAGGAAGAGGAGAAAAAGAAACATTTGAATATTCAAATTGAGTCATTTGCAACGGTCATATTATTACCGTTACTCCCGCAAGCTGTAGCGCACAATACCGGAGAGTTTGTGCCTGTGGTGAAAGGACTGGATTGCATGTGGGCACGCCCACGGCCGACCGCCAGTGTTTATGATTGATAAAAGCTTTCTTCTTTAGAAAAGAAAATA